GTCGTGGAGTGTGGGGAGCCACCAGGCCCTGCAGCCCCATCCCCAGTCCCATGTGACTCTGAGCCAGCAAATAGGACAGACGGTTTATTCCTTGACAGCGACACGGCGCCGCACCGACCAGGAGCAGACAGTACAATCCAATGCCCCGGCCCCCTCCTGCATTCTCAGCCCGCCCAGCCCAGAGAGCTCACACACTCACCTCCCAGCCCTGTCCCCTCCTTTGTCTAGCTTCAAAAGGTGAATCTTCCACCTAGGCTCGCGTTACAGGACAGCCTGAGCTATTGTTGCACTTTCTAGACTAACAAAACATGTAGATGGGATCACGAGCTTTCGTGGGCACGGCCCACTTCTTCAGATGGCCGGAGTTATGAGTAGGGGATATGAAAACTCACTCTATATTAAGTGCTACCAGACCATTTGTTGTTTTTTTCTGTAACAGACTAACTCGGCTACCCCCTGAAGCTCCTGAGCTATTGTTGTGTACGCGCTAAGATGGGGCAGCCTCCCCCTCAGTGAGAACCACACCCAACATTCCCATCCCCGGGCAGGTTCCAGCGCAGTGCCCAGGGAAACTGAGGCACACACACACGGTTACAACAGAACAGCACAGAACAGTAGGAATCACACACAACATAACAAAGCAAACAACGAACACAATCCTTACTACGTCATGAGGCTATAAATCAAGAGCTTTTATGCCATGTCCCCAGCACACTAAACAGCGCAACTCTTGCCTGCAATTATTATGGATGCCTTTTACCGTACACCCAAGCTACTAAGCGGAAAATCAACCACTGTTTCTGATATACTGCCCTCTCCATTAAAAAGCAAACAGTAGTCCTGTAGCACCTTAGGGCACGTCTACAGTACAGCGTTACTTCGAAATAACTTGCGCTATTTCGAAATAGCAAGGCGAGCGTCCACACAGCAAGCGCGCTATTTCGAAATTATTTCAAAATAACAGACTTCTTTCTTCAGAATAATAATCCCGCATTTCACGAGGAATAACGCCCATTTCAAAATAGCTATATCGAAATAGCAGTCGTGTGGATGCTCCATGGCTGCTATTTCAAAATAGCTCTTCCCCAGGGCCATTCAAAATAATTACTCCCCAGTGCTTCCTGAGGCTCTACGTCAAGATAGCACATCTGCATGTAGAGAGCCTGCTCTCAGACTAGTTTCATGGCTTCCCTGTAATGTGGATGTGCTATTTCAAAATAGTTATTTTGGGAGTTATTCTTTTGAAATAACTTATTTCAAAACACACACACACACAAAAGCTCTGGGCAAAACCCACTTCCTCAGATGATCGGAGTGAAGAGAAAAGGGGGAACGCTCACAATTTATAACAGAAAAGAAGAGTGGTGTGTGGGGGGGAAAGTATCTGTCAATTGTAGTGCCAGCGCTAATGAAGCTAATTGAGTGGGCTGGAAGTGTCCTGTACTCCAGTGTTTCTCAACCAGTGGTACAAGCACCCTCAGGGGTACTCATGAGAAGTCCAGGGAGGTACATCCACACAACTGAAATTTGGAGAAAACTTTTTAAGTTTGACAGCGTTTTATTATTTTTGTACTTTTTACACCCAAAAATGTCATCGCCCTACGATTAAGTTGTTTAAACAAACGTGTTGCAATGGTAGAAACATTTTTGTGTGTCTGAAAACTGTAGGTACTGGGGGTACTTATAATTTTTTTTTTTTTTTTGAAAAAGGGGATATTTATTATTATTTTTAAAAGGGAGTACTTTATAAAAAAAGGTTGAGACACACTGCTGTACTCAATTAGCCCCAGCACCTGCCCCGTCCCAAGCAAGAGGGCTGGGGCAGGAACTACCCTGTAGTGTAGGACTAGGGTGGGGGTGAGATCTTGTGCCACTCTCAGTGTGGTGGCTTTGCAAAGGTCTCTGGGAAATGAAGTCTCCCTTTTGCAATGCGCCAGGGTTGGCTGTTTGTTGGGGGCAGGCTGGAGATTTCAGGCCCTCCCCCTCTTGAATATTCATGAGCACGTGAGGGAGCTGTCATCTTTGTTCAAGAGTGCTTTGGGGAGGGAGGGGGGAAGATCAGCAATTAATTCAGGGCAGGCCTCTGACCTCTTCTCTACTGATGATCAGACTAGGGGATCACAATGGTCCTCCTGGGCAGGGAGGATGATCAGCAAGGCATACCTGTGCCAATCAAGAAAGGCTTCTTTGTCGGCGCGTCGCGTCCAGACTGCCCCGATCTGCCGACAAACAGCTGATTGGCAGAGCGGGGCAGCCATTTAAATTTAAATGAAGCCGCGATTATTTTAATCGCGGCTTCATTTCCGTCTGCCGATCTGGCTAATCTACATGCCTCCGTCGACAGAGGCATGTAGTCTAGACACACCCGGGGAGAGCAAGAGGGGATGCGACAGATACAGAAAAGTGAGCGAAGTCGAGACAGGATCTCCTGTGGCACTGGACTGGGGGATGTTCAGTGCACTTGAAAGGTAGCACATTTCAGAGGAAGAACTTTACTATAAGCTGTCCCAACCAAGAGACAGGCCTGCGCAAGGCAGGCACAGGTGGGACAAGGAAAGAGGAGGAAGCCCGTCCGCCTCTGCGCAAGTACCAGGAATACTCCATCCCATGCTAGTACCATCTCCTCCACATGACTGCACAGGTCTGTTTCTCCAGCCAATCCCAACCCGCTCATTGCACACGTCAGGGACTCCTTTTATCCTTCCATCTCTCACTCATGTTCCCAGTGTGCAACCCTCTTTCAGGGCCTCCCTGCAGCCCTCGTCCTCGCTCATGGGGGGAGGGCTATGTGTGTCCCCTCTCCACCTCCCCTTGCCAGCCATTCCCATCCCTGTCCGTAGCATGCGCTGCAGCAGAACAGGCCTGGCCAGGATGGTTGAGTCCAGTTGTTATTCCAGTAGCCTCTCACCATTTTCTGGAGGAATTCACGCGAGAGAAAAGATTTGGTGACCTGTGACGACTGATCTCTCAGCCAAACTGGAGCTGACTCTCCAGGACAAAGAAAAGGCACCTCTCTACCCAAGGGCTTCCCCTCCGCTGAATTTCAGAACCTGGCTACAAGGAGGTCGACAAGTGGAACCAACTTCTGGAGCTTAGCGCAGGAGTTTCCACTGCTGGAGCTCAGGGCCAGCTGGCTCTAAGCTAAGGCTGTAGAGCAGGGGTGAGCAATAATTTTTGACCAGGGGCCACTTCAAAAATGTTTAAAGTGGCTCCAGGTCTCAGGGGGAAGGGGCGGGGCCAGGACACGTCCATGCTTTCCCACCCAGCTTGGTCTGGAGCTGGAGGAGCGTACAAAGCCCCCCCCCAAAAGTTCTAAACAGCTGGCGGTTCCCTCTGGGTACCTGTGCCCCTGGCAGTGGAAGGAGACTTCATGCGCTGCCCGGTCAATCAGGGCCAGAGGAGGGGAGCACATGAAGTCTCTGGCTCCCTGCCCCCACCCTGCAAGGAAGCACCCTGCTTAAAGTTAACCGCCAGCTGAGCAGCAGCTGACAATTGACTTTAAGTTCTGAGCCCCTTGCAGGGCAGCAGAAAACTTCACATGCCCCCCCCCCCACCACCAAGCCCTGATTGGCCTGGGGGCAGGGAAGTGTGCAAAGTCTCCTCCCACCCTGCCCCTGTCCTCCAAGGAGCGTGCGGTGCTTAGATGTGCCATGCACTCCTGGCAGGGCGGGAAACTTCACGATTCCCCGCATCCCCAGACCCTGATTGGCCTGGTGCAGGGGGAGTGGCAGGACCTCCGCAGGTTGGATCAACTTGCCTCGTGGGCTGGATCCAACCCACAGAGTCCCTTTTACCCACCCCTGCTATAAAGGAAACTCATTCTTTCCCTCCCCTGCAAGTGGTCTAAGTGCCACAACATAGGACAGTGAACCATACCCAGTAGCTGTGTGGGTTACAGCTGCAAAACCATTTTATAGACCAAAGTGTTGCAAACATGGACATTTTTATTATTTGAATTTTTCCATCCTGGTTACACCCAGAAGGACCAATCAAACATGGGACTCCATTGTGCTAGGCACTGCTTGTACTGAAGTGACAGGCCCTGTTCCAAAGACTAAAGAATCTAATTTAACGTTAAAAAATGGTGTGTGTGTATAAATAAAATTAGGGGTGGCAAATTTTAAAAAATGTTAATAAATAGCAATATTTATTTTTAAGCCTTTATTTTTATTTTTATCTCATCTATTTAAATTTTCACAGCTGCTGAAATTAAATGGGGAAAGTCAGATAATTGTTTAATGATAGCAAAACATTAAAATTTTATAGACCATTAAAACTAAATTGTCAATGCCCCATGTCAAAATATACATAGTAAATGTCCTGACATCAACAAATCCTACCAGGTTTTATTGTTCATTCATTAGTCCATTTCTAACAAGCTTCCTTCCAGTCCCTGGGTTTTGACTCAAAAAAGTTCTAAAGCGACATTTGTCTTACTTTTACCTATCTGCAAATGTTGATTATCAATGGATATATTGTTTTGCTGGTTTGTGGGTATACAGTGAAATCAACATTTATCTACTAAAAAAAATGTAATCTAGCCCAGGCTTTAAGTAGCTTGATAGATTCAAAAGCCTTTGGCTGTGTCTAGACTGGCCAGTTTTTCCGCAAAATCAGCTGATTTTACGGAAAAACTTGCCAGCTGTCTACACTGGCTGCTTGAATTTCCGCAAGAACACTGATGATCTCATGTAAGATTGTCAGTGTTCTTGCGGAAATACTATGCTGCTCCCGTTCGGGCAAAAGCCCTCTTGCGCAAATCATTTGCGCAAGAGGGCCAGTGTAGACAGCACAGTACTGTTTTGCGCAAAAAAGCCCCGATGGCGAAAATGGCGATCGGGGCTTTTTTGCGCAAAAGTGTGTCTAGATTGGCATGGACACTTTTCCGCAAAAAGTGCTTTTGCGGAAAAGCATCCACGCCAATCTAAACGCGCTTTTCCGAAAATGCTTTTAATGGAAAACTTTTCCGTTAAAAGCTTTTCCGGAAAATCAGGCCAGTCTCGACGTAGCCTTTGTGTTTATGTAGTCCAGCAGCAATGGGCAACCCAAGCTAGTGAGTGGGCTGCATGAGTGCCCCCCTTTATCTCAGTGCACCACAAGATTGAAATTGGGCACATGCATTAACTGTAATTCCAAAAATAAGATGAAAAACATTACACTTAATTCTCCTTCTTTACCATGCCTTTTCGATTTTAAGTGATCCATTTTTAGAGGAAATTAAGTTGCTGGCCAAAGTAACATAAAGAAGCAGAGGGTGCGCACGGCTCTCACAACGTTGTGTGCAATCAGCCTGTACCTCACACGCGCCCTTGCTTTGAAAGTGTGTCACTTCTCATTTGCCAGGGGTTGCTCAAACCTCTCCCTCCCCCACTCCTTTCCTCAAGTCCTCACTTGGTCTCTTTACTGCCTCTTCCCCTGTCCCCTCTCCTCCTCCTCCCAGCATTTCCAGAGTGCTGTGACTCCTCTGATTCACACCCCATTCCCCCTCCTCCCCTCTCTCCTGGAGCTTGAACAGCTGGGAATCAGGTGATTCACAGTGCTCTGGAAGTGCTGGGAGGGAGGGGGAGAAGCGAGAAGCAGGTGATCGCAGGGCACCCTGCATGCAAGAGACGTAGGGGGCAGAGGGAGGTTGGGTGGTCCCCACATACAATGCTGATGGGCTACATGTGGTTGGGAGACCAGAGGCTGCCCCCTGCTGCTCTACTCTGACCCCCTGCGTAGCATAGTCCAGAGTGGTTCCCCCAAAATAATTCCTAGAGCAGAGTTTTTAGAAAAACATCCAAACTTGATTCAAAAATTGTCAGTGACAGCCTTTGGTCAGTTCTCCAACGGTTAATTACTCTCACCATTAAGAAAATCATGTCTTATTTTCAGTCTGTTTGCCTACCTTCAACTTCCAGACACTGGATCATGTTAGACCTTTGTTTGCTAGACTGAAAGCTCCATTATTAAATATTTTTCCTTATGGAGTGATGTATGGACTGATCAAGTCACCTCATAACCTTCTTTATTCAGCTAAATAGATGAACCTCCTTGAGTCCATCACTATGAGGCAGTTTTCTAAGCCTTTAATCATTTTTATGGCTCTTCTCTGACCCCTCTCCAATTTATCAACATCTTTCCTGAATTGTAAGTACCAAAACTGGACACAGGATTCCTGCAGTGGTTGCAAGAATGTCTAATATCGAGGGACAATAACTTCTGTGCTCCCATTTAAAATTCCCCTGTTGATGCATCCCAGGATTGCATTAGATCTTTTGGCCACAGCATTGCACTGAGAGCTCATGTTGAGCTAATTATCCACCATGATTCGCAGGACAGAGTTCCCCATCCTGTATGTAGGGCCAACTTTCTTTGTTCCCAGATGTATACATTTGCATTTAACCATATTAAAACACAGTATGTAGCACAAGATGAACAAGGCACTAGCAAAGTTGGAAATAAGAGGGAGCCAAGTGATTAGATAAACCATGTTCCCTCTATTTTTTCCATCCATGAGCAGAATAAATTTTGTTGTGCACACCAAGACTGTGCAGATGTGCACCACCAAACACACACACATGCTGTCAGCATTTGAATCTCTATTGGGTGGTCACCCAAGTTCACAGGGAACACTGCAGATAAATACCCCCCCACAACACCTTTAATGCCAGTATTCAAAATCCCTGTAACCACATCCCTAAACAGGAGTGAAGGAACGCGTGTGGATTCTCTGATGGGCAATAAGGTTTGAGCTCCGACTAAAGCTCTTCCCACAGTCAGGACAGTGATAGGGGCGCTCTCCCGTGTGGATGCGCTGGTGTTTATTAAGATCAGAGCTGCCGACGAAGCTTTTCCCACAGTCGGGACATTTGTAAGGTCTCTCTCCTGTATGGGTTCTCTGGTGGGTGATAAGGTATGAGCTCCGACCAAAGCTCTTCCCACATTCGGGGCAGGTATATGGTCGCTCCCCGGTGTGAATTCTCTGGTGCTTAATAAGTGCTGAACTGTCAACGAAGCCACTCCCACAGTTGGGGCATTTATAGGGTCTCTCGCCCGTGTGGGTTCTCAGGTGCCTATCGAGCCTGGAGCTGAGGCTAAAACTCTTCCCGCACTCAGTGCAGAGGTAGGGCTTATCCTCCGTGTGGACTGTCTGGTGCCGGATGAGGTGAGAACTCAGCGAGAAACTTCTCCCGCAGTCAGAGCATTTATACGGTCGCTCTCCCGTGTGGGTGACTTGGTGTCTAATTAGGTGTGAGCTGACACGGAAGCATTTTCCACACTGGGGACACTTATAAGGTCTCTCGACTTTCTGGATCCCCTGGTGTGGACTCAGAGATTGGTTTTCTCCATAGTCAGGGCGTCTGTAGGGTCGCTCCCCTGTGTGGATTCGCTGGTGCTGCTTCAGGTTCGACTTCTGGTTGAAACTCTTCCCACAGTCGGGACATTTGTAGGGCCGCTCTCCGGTATGGACCATCTGATGCTGGAGCAGGCGGGAGCTCAAAGAGAAGCTCTTCCCACAGTCGGTGCATTTGTAGGGTCGCTCCCCAGTGTGGATCCTCTGATGCTGCGTGTGATTGGACCTCTGACTGAAACTCTTCCCGCAGACAGAGCACGTGTAAGGTTTCTCTCCTGTGTGGGATCTCTCATGGCGGATGAGCATAGAGCTCTGGGTGAAGCTTTTCCCACATTTGGGGCATTTATAGGGTCTCTCTGCTGTGCAGATTCTTTGTAAGCCAAGAAGCTGCTTGGAACATTCTTCATCTGTGGGGTCTCCCTCTGTCTCCCCTTCCTGCCTCCCTTTCCCTCCCTGGCTATGGCCAGCCTCTCCCTGCTCACTTCTCTGGGACATCTCTTGCAGTTCTGCCCCCACAGCCTCTTCTTGCTGGGGGTTGCTCTCCTTGATCTTGAAACCTGCTGGGAGAGAAACAGAATCCTGCTGGGGCTTGTTAAAAACCTGATGGGCAGGAAGTGAAACCTCCCAACCCTTCGCTCCCTGTGGCAAGGCAAATCTGGGCTATGCTCAGTGAATTGCCGGTGCTGTGATAGGCCTGGGCATAAGTAGAAGGCATTTACCCTGTTCAGAAGCATCATTTAGACACCTCTCCCAATCTCTCACTGCCCATCCATTGCCTATAAAGGATATCACAACAAGGAGTCCGGTGGCATCTTAAACACTAGCAAATTTATTAGGGCATAAGCTTTTGCACCCTAATACAATTTGTTAGTCTTTAAGGTGCCACAGGACTCCTTGTTTCTGCAGAAACAGACTAACATGGCTACTTCTCTGAAACATATATGGGATATTGTAATTCGAAAACCTGGAGGGTTTATGCAAATGAGCCAATCCCTTAATTTCCATACAGTTCTGCGAACAAGACAATGAATGTAATATCGCCTCAAGAAAATTAAAAAATATTCTCCCCCTCTCTGTAGTCCACTCTCAAGGTTGCTATGACCTCACACTGGCTCCCCATATTGCACAATCTGATACCTGGCCAGAGGGATATAGCCTAAAATGTAATTTCCATGCGCTCTTGTAACCATAGAGATGGGCTTTGGTGCACACATCTCTCTAGCCTGCCTGTAATCATAGAGATGGGTGTAGAATGCACCTGGAACCAGAGACACAGCTCAGAATGATATTCCCAAGCCTATCCCCCAGAATGTAGTGATGGGACATAGAGCACAAATCTTCCTGCTCTGCCAGTAACCACAGAGGCCCATCTTAGTGTGTGCCTCATCTGGGCTCAGCCAGAACCATGGCAACTATACCTAGAGCATGCACTTCCTGGATCCATAGAGATGGGCCCCAGAATGGGCATTTCCCCCTGCCTACATGTAACCATGGAGCAAGCCTGTACAGCTCATGACTCCCCTGTAATGCCTGGGCTTCATCATAAAAAGATTTAAGAGAATACAGTGAGGGGCTCGATGTAGAGGAGAGGCGAGCCACGCCACGCCACCTCATTTTCTATAACCGAAAGGCTAATGCAGAACAATCCCTCTGCAGGGGCTGATGCACTGCCCGGGAAATCTGGAAGTTGGTACCCATGCTCCTTCCACACTCCCCATAACCATAGAGATGGGGACTGGCAGCATGCTCCAATCCTGCCCTGTCCATGCACACTTCCCTGCTTGCACGTGTGTGTGTCCCCCTTTCCCTATGCACACCCGGCACTTCCCTGCTTGCACGTGTGTGTGCCCCCCTTTCCCTATGCACACCCGGCACTTCCCTGCTTGCACGTGTGTGTGCCCCCCTTTCCCTATGCACACCCGGCACTTCCCTGCTTGCACGTGTGTGTGCCCCCCTTTCCCTATGCACACCCGGCACTTCCCTGCTTGCACGTGTGTGTGCCCCCCTTTCCCTATGCACACCCGGCACTTCCCTGCTTGCACGTGTGTGTGCCCCCCTTTCCCTATGCACACCCGGCACTTCCCTGCTTGCACGTGTGTGTGCCCCCCTTTCCCTATGCACACCCGGCACTTCCCTGCTTGCACGTGTGTGTGCCCCCCTTTCCCTATGCACACCCGGCACTTCCCTGCTTCACCCAGCTGAGCAGCGTCTGGTACTTCTCCAGCAGGACGTCCCTGCAGAGCTGGCTCTGCCCTGGGTCCAGGAGCCTCCGCTCCTCCCGGGGGCACCCCAGGGCTGCTGGGGCAGGAACTCAGGGGGGCAGGGAACGGGCTGGGATCCCGTCCCCATTTAGTGCAGTCCCCTTTGCAAGGGACTCTGGGAAATGGAGTTTCCCTTTGCAATGCACCATGGGCAAGGCTGGAGCAAACTCAGAGCCACCTTATTTTGCATATTCATAACGAGGGCAGAGCGCTATGGGCACATGGGCAGGATAAGGGAGCCCCAGAGGGTTGGCCGGGGCAGGGAATGAGAGCAGCAGGCAGGTTGCAATGCAGGGGTGGGGAATGAGCCACAGAAAAATCAGTTGGGAGCTGGGGGTTGTGGAGAGGCTGCGGGGTGCTCGAGTGCCAGCATGGGCTCCCCACCTCAGGGGCCTGATCCAGGCAACCCATGGGCTGCATCCAGCTGCTGGGCCGTAGGTTCCCCACCCCTGGGCTACGTCTACACTGGCATGATTTTCCGGAAATGCTTTTAATGGAAAAGTTTTCAGTTAAAAGCATTTGTGGAAAAGAGCGTCTAGATTGGCAGGACGCTTTTCCGCAAAAGCACTTTTTGCAGAAAAGCGTCCGTGGCCAATCTAGATGCGCTTTTCCGCAAAAAAGCCCCGATCGCCATTTTTGCGGTTGGGGCTTTTTTGTGGAAAACAAATCTCAGCTGTCTACACTGGCCCCCTTTGTGCAAAAGTTTTGCGCAAAAGGACTTTTGCCCAAATGGGAGCAGCATAGTATTTCCGCAAGAACACTGACAATCTTACATGAGATCATCAGTGCTTTTGTGGAAATTCAAGCGGCCAGTGTAGACAGCTGGCAAGTTTTTCTGGAAAAACTGGCCAGACTAGACACATCACTGCTGTAATGAGATAGGAAAGGTAGGGAGGGACTGGTTGTGTAGAGAGGGGCTGGATAAAAGGGGACGTGGCAGATGCACATAGGGAAAGGCAGGGGCCAGGGAAGGTAAATTGGGTGCTGCTGCTTGTCATAAGAAGGGAGTGTTCAACAAACTTGTAAAGTGGTTCAATAGAGCCCTAGGTGGATACAAAATTGGTATCTGCATCCCCATCTACGAAATGAGCTGTGGATATCGGCATTCACATCTGTGGACATAAAGCAGATATCGGCAAATTTGCAGGGTTTTAGATCCAAAATTTGTCCCTGCCTCTGTAGCTGCAAAAATGAGCCATAGATACCCATATCCACAGACGTGGAGACTCACAGATTTAAAATGGGTATCAGTGCATTTGCTGGGCTCTATGGATCAATGCAGTGGGGTCAAGTTGGCACGGATCCCTGCAATTCTGCAGGTAAACTCTACAGTTACCATACGGAGTGCATCCAAACAGCAACCCACTGTATCCTACTGGGTGTGTTTTAAAAAATATAATTTGACTAGAGTGTGGACTCTGGGGTGGGGATGAGAGCTTTGGAGTATAGGCGGGGACTCTGGCTTGGGGAGGCGGGGGGTCAGGGCTGAGGCAGGAGGGGCTTACCTTGAGCAGCTCCTGGTCAACAGTCAGTGGGAGTTCTAAGGCAGGCTTCCTGCCTCTCCTGGCACCACAGGCCATGCTTTGCCCTAAAAGCAGTCAGCAACAGGTTCCCAGCCAATGGGAGCATGGAGTTAGTGTTCAGGGCAGGGAGTGGAGCCCTGTGTGCTCTCCCCCCCACTCTATGTAGGAGTGGGGCCTGCTGCTGGCTGCTTCAGGGGCGCAGCGCAGTCTGCGGTGCCAGGACAAGCTGGTAGCTGCCTTAGCACCCCTGCTGGTCACCTGGTCCCCCTGCAGCAATGAGACCCAGTGCCTGACATTCCCCCTCCCAAAAGTTTGAAAACCACTGATCTAGTCATGGAACTGAGTCCTGTATCTCAGATCAAGTGCCCTTGTCCCACCATATCAGCCACCACCACGGGGTTAATCCATCCTGGAACAAACAGCTGCCCCAGTTCTCTCTGCAACACTAAAATACCCCTACAGAGTAACCGCTGCAGCAGGAAATCAGTGTCTTATAGGTGAAGGTTCATTTAAGGTGGAAGGTTGGGCGCTAGAGGTTCCATAGTAGTGTATCTCAGATCAAGTGCCCTTGTCCCACCATATCAGCCACCACCACGGGGTTAATCCATCCTGGAACAAACAGCTGCCCCAGTTCTCTCTGCAACACTAAAATACCCCTACAGAGTAACCGCTGCAGCAGGAAATCAGTGTCTTATAGGTGAAGGTTCATTTAAGGTGGAAGGTTGGGCGCTAGAGGTTCCATAGTAGTCC